TACAGGTCTTGGTAATTAACATCAATGAACTGTCTGAGTTGAAAGCCATTCGAGCGTTAATGGCAAATTAATGCACATTGCGAATTAATTATTGACCTGAACCTTATCTGCGTTGTGTAAACAGTATGGCCGATTTTGAATCTTGCAGCATGCGTAATAGGAGAGATTTTTTGGACATATTTATTTTTTCCTGTGGTTTAAAACATTTAATACTAGGCTAGTTATTTAAAGAAAATCATTCGGAGTAAAATACTCAAGAAGGTGAAGACATACAGTATACACGTTCTTGGGTATTATGTATTATATTATAGTAGACATACACACATATAAGATTCTGGACAAAACCTCTCAGACTTTATTTTCATTTAACGTCTATGAAAAGTAAATAGAGGCCCTATGATGCAGATACAGCAAAAACTTATTTTAATATGTCTATTCCAAAATTATCTAAAGGATTCAGTAAACATATTCATATGAACTCTAAATAGAATAACCTACTACCATTACCGAGGATAAATATTTTGCCGCTAATATTCGTTTCTTTACTTCACGTGTAAGTACTCCAATGTACAGTACATTCAATTGAGTTTCACCCAATTACCATACAGGTTTCACGGTGTCAATAGTCTGTTACCGCTCTTAGTTGAAGCATAAAATGAGGAGGGTTTAAAGCCGTGCAAAAGCAGTCGGCAGCGGGCAAACATTTCTTCGGTTTGTTTGTAACGAGCCCGGACGAAGCGGTTTCAACTTCCTCCCAATAAGTGGATAATGATCTGACCATCTTGTTTTTCTCGGTGAGACTGCTTTGGATTGACCGGCTTTTTTACCTGCCAGTTCTTTCTTTTTTATGTTACGCTTTTTGAAATACAATTTTGTTATTCGACAAACTAGTAAGCACGATCCTTGATGTCAGTGTAGCCGTTTTTTTATTTTTTTATTTTCACTTCTCAGTACATCTGTCGTAAACGGCTAATGGGTGTATCTTCGTGCCCGGCACACGACCACATCACCTATTACGCGGAAATGCTCTTGGTACTCACGATGTTAATAGGTAAAAAGAATTCTTGGATCCGCCAAGATGTTAATGGGTAAAAAGAATAAGTACCAAAAAATTCTCAGTGCACATTTTGTTATGAAGATTTTTGAACTGCGAGCTTCGGTACCGTGGGCGTTGTAATATCATCTGTGATGAAACAAGTTGGAGTACCTACATAAGTTTAATTAATGCTAAACAATTAACTGATTTAAATACAACGCATATTTGTTGTAGTACATAATATTTTGTAAACATATACCTACGTATTCCCAATCGGGCAATTTTAGCTTTCTGGCTTGTTAACCACTCATACAGGAACTATTCCTAGTTACTAACTACCGTTATCTTGTTGCAAACTACACCGTTTCTCAAACTCGATTAAAACGTACTAAGTCAACAATGTAAGTAAATGTGCTAACAGACTTTTGCAGTAAACGTAACTGCAAAGCTCAGCACCGAGTGAATTACATATTTCGGGCGTAAAGAGCAAAGAGTTTCTTTATCGACCTCGTAAAGAAACATGTTTACGCTTTAGTCTCATTTCGCCTTTAGTCACGGTGATGAAATATAATCAGATATCTTTTATTGTTTGTCTGCACCGTTTTACTTACTTGTGGGTTGTTGTTAATAATCAAAAACAATACATAAACTATATAAGTTAAAGCAATCACATGCAATTATTGTTGATTTGTGACAGCTTTGTTGCTATTGGTCGCATGTGGATTTGAACCAGACACTGGACAAAATTTGTGTGATCCATATCGCAGGGCTGGGTTTAGTTTGCGTACGTGTGATTTGTGCATGATTTATAGCATTACTTTGATGCCTTAAATATTGCCTCGCACTTTGACCCATTTTTTACTGACTGGTTTTAATTTCTATGGTCCTCCTATTATTTAAACGGTCGGAATATTTCTCGAATCTCTGTTCATAAAATATTTTACCAACTTCCGAATGATTTATTCGCATAGTGGCTCGTAAATTTGCGCAAATACGAAGTGCCCGAGGGAACAGATGGCGTTTCTTAACTTTTTGCTTATGAAGACCTTCTCACACGTTTATTTTTCATCGTGCTTCCGGTGCGATTTGAATTTCTAGTGCGTCTATTGCTTTTCTTATTATTTTAATGATAGAACAAAGTAGGTGCGGAGCTCAAAGACTATGATTGTTTTGCCCGATATATCAAAATGCCAGGGATTGCGTTTAGAACCTAACTTTACAATTTATGTACACATTTTAGGTTTCATCTCGTGTTGAGATGTTTATCATACAAACATTTAGATATGACCTGTTTACCAACTAGTTATTATCGCACTCATGCACATTATAGCACTAGAAGATTTATGTTAAAATTTTCCTTATATCAAACATCACTGCATGTTGCATGCTATGACTATCATGCAACACTCACCCAATAAGAAAGAAAAATGTAGCTTAAGCGATTTCCTTTTTTCGACATTTAGGTACATTAAAAAAACAAATTAGGTTGTTTGAATCTTCAAAGCACAAGTTTCGCGCACGCAAAAAGGTTTTTTTATGCGGTGCATTACACCCTAGTGATTTACAACCTTGTTATTATTATATTTCTCGTCACCAACACGGTGTTTACATTTTTTTGAGATGCATAAAGTCCAGCTGGTTCTGTACTCGCATGGGCCTTGGGAAGTGACCTCTAAATGCATTTGGGTGTTGAGACGCGATTGTGGCATAGATAAGCGGTGTACCCACTGCTTTTAGACTCCGTGCTTTCTTCGTATTTCGTAGGTTTTTTTTGTGGGTTTTCAAAGTTGGGTTGCCATTAAGTTGTGGGCCCCGGCTACCTCACTCACCAGACGGAACACTAAAGTATAATATTTCCACTTCTCGCCGGTGTTTCTGTGAGGCCATGGAACTTCCCGGAATGAGCCTGCCGGCTGCTCATTCTAACTACAGCCTAAACTGCTGCGGGGCTCTATCATAGTAGAAAAATAAACACACAGATTTAATAAATATCGAAATGGCGTAATGGATTTTCATGGACAGTGGTTATCACCAACATCCTCCGCATCCTTATTTACAACATCCCTTTTAAAATGAACCCTGAGTCTATTTCTCGTAGTTAATAATAAAAATCAGGAATGTATAATCGGTATAAACAGATTCGCATCGAACGTTGTGTAGGTATTTCGATTATGTAACTGCATGTGGGTATTTGTAAATCATAACGTTAACTGCATGTGGGTATTTATAAATCATAACGTGGGAACTGAATACCGAATAAAGTTCTGTCATGGTTAAAAAAAAATGTATATAGAAAAATATATATAAATATATATATTGGTGATATTTGTTATTTAACTTCATCTTTAGAATATATTTACTTAATATATCATAGTCATAAGTTATTACTATTACACGTGGAGGCGCCAGGCGCCAACACACTGCTAAATTAAAAAAACAAAAAAGTCCGACATAATATATTTCAACGGCAGAATATAAAAATGCAAAATGGACATGACATCAGCCCGCCCGCGAAATAAGAAGTCTAAATTGTCTCATCTCTGAAGCTATTGAAAACGTCCCGCGGAATGGGATCGTGTCTAATTTAATTATAATCGTATTTAGTTTCTCATTCACAAATCATTAGAGCAGAAGTGCATAGCATACCAGTATTTGTGATACGTCATAACTTACTGCTATAAATTTCAGTTGCATAACATAACAAGCCCTTTCATTTTCCTAAGACCTCTGTTGTAAATGGGGCTCTTCTACAGTAACATATCTTGATCTTCGGCATTACGCATCTGATGCCACGACGGTCAGGAGGTCTACTGCGACCGTGATATTTTTATAATACATACAAATACATGTAAACGTCTAACGTATATAATAAAACATCTTTGTCAGTTCTTTGTCCGCGGGTTTGCGTGAGTTTTTGTTATAAGAAAATCAGCATGAAAACAAAGAAAAGCTGCTTCACCTTTTAATTTGTTAACCATTCAGTGCTTCAAAATTTGATTTTATTTTATTTAATTTGTTTTTGTTACTTACTTTTACCGGAAACGTTTACGTACGCACCCTTACGCTATGCTATTCTTTTCAGTTTGCCTTATTTATATTTGTAACTTGATATTTTCGTGTTTATCTTGTAAAAAGGTCGATGACATTTTAGAGCGACATTTTAAACGAAATAAAATGATAGCAGATATCGATACGATGAGCCTTGTCGGGCGTTTGGCTAATTATATGAAAAAGCGTGTAAAAGCATATAAAAACGAAGTCTTTTTGTAATTGTTATGTTTATTACCTAATAACTTATTTAATTAAAACATTAAGGTATTAGTTAAAATCTATGTGTGGTTTATGTGTAGGTCCCATAAAAGTTTTCCATTTTCAATTTAAATTGCATTTGATAACTGAGCCCCGTGCGGTTCATCACTTCCATATCTTCCATTTAGGCCTCCTAATTTATTGTTTCTAATATTATAAACGCGAAAGTTTGTATGTGGATGGGTGTTTGGTACTCTTTCACGCAAATACTACTGAATGGATTTTAATGAAACTTTACAATGATGTAGCTCATACATCAGAATTACACATAGGCTATAATTAATGTACATATTTTTATGTATAATCTGTCTTTCTGTCTGAATGTTACGCCGTCAGCCTATTCTACGCAGACGTAGTTGCGGGCAGCAGCTAGTTATATATAAAAATAATTGTAGTCTCGCTAAACCTCGAGAACGGATGGACCGATTTGACAAATTTTTGTTTTGAAATATTTGTGGCGGTCCAGGGAAGGTTTAAACGATGAGAAATAATAGAAAAGTTCAGATAGACAAATTCCATAGAAATAATTTATATGGCAAAACAACTTTTGCCGAGTCAGCTAGTACGTTAAAAATTCCAACGTCAATAACACAACTCTCTTTTTTTTTTTCAGATACCCCCAAAGTAATGAGCACGCGATACCGATCTACATAAAATGAACCCCCGAATCCTATTAACTGTGGCCGCCTTTCTGCTCTGCGACGCAAAGCTGCCCGGCCTAAATCCGACCACACTGAATGGTGCGGACGCAACACAAAGGTCTGAGCACTACGGGAGGAGCGCAATACGTCGGAACGCGGCGAGGCAGCGGCGCGAAGCCTTCGACCCGAAGACGTACGAGTCCAGCCTGACCTGGGCCCACTCCGAGAGGCTCGACGACAACGGCGATGTGGTCCTACGTTGGGTGACTTCTGACTCGCGAGTCACGTTCAGACTGGAGGCCAGGACGCGCGGCTACGTCGGCCTGGGCTTCAGCGCGGCGCAGAGCATGCGCGGCGCGGACCTGGTGGTCGCATGGGTGGACGACAGGAACGGCAACGCTCAGATTTTGGTGAGTTGGATATTTATATCGGTATACCTCGGAGGCATACAATAGTAAATCAAAATTTTTTCTTACACCATTAAAATCGCAAGAACAAATTCTACACAATAGTATAAAACATTCAGTCCTACGACGCCTAATTAATAAAATATCCAATCGTATATGACATCATAATCCATAATACATTCAAGGGTTAACTCACGCAGTTTTCCCCCCCTGTAAAATTTGTGTTTGGTCTCATAATGCCGTTAATATAACCTCTGGGGTTACAACAGTTTCAATACGTCCTATTGCTGAACAAAGGACTTCTCTGTACAGATGGTATTAGGACATAGTCCACCACACGACCCCACTGCGGATTTCAGACTTCAAATATCTTAATTTCCGCGCCACGCATCCTCACTGGATCCAGTGGCGAAATTTCACGAGCAATATTTTAGATTATTCCATCGCTGACTGCAAACATAGATTTGGCAACAGATTTGGTGCAATTCGTAATTTGTGTTCAATATAATTTTGTTTAAATTCTTCTTGTATAAAATATGTGTGTCTGCGAAGATAAGATTCATCGCTTCAAGTTTATGTTGCGATGCTTTAAAAATAATTGAAAATAGTTTCTGGATCAGAATAAGTTTAAATTGCAAAGTTCTTCGTGCAATTGATTTGAATTTTCCGCGCTGGCCGAGAACGCAGATTGCTGTTTTTTCAACCATTCTCAGACAACTTATTTCCTTTATTGCCTTCATTGTTTTATCTCGCTTCAATGTATTTATGTTGCATTGTTTTTTAATTTTTAAGGTTACAAGCAATATATCAATGTTGCTTTTAAGATAATGATTTTTTTTTAAAAAAGGACCTTGTTTTGGGCTCTTCGCCGTTGTATTAGACCGTTCCAACACAAAAGGATCAAGTTTTGTCAATGCAATCGTGACACGTGTAAAGCAGTACGCCGAGCTGGTTAAAAATAATGACTTACGTAAGCCCCTATTTGCAGGTCGTCCGCAATTGTAACTTTCGGTCGGTTTGTAGTAATTTATCGCTTACGTGACCGGAATAAGTGTTATGCCCGTCGCAGAGAACTTTTTACCATAGACAATGGCCTGTTTGCGGTTTTCGTCGGGCATGTCAACGTCCCAGGCATCGAACCGTGACCGTTGCTAACGTCTTAGCTGCCGTGATTCTCGTTCAAAAATATAGTTTTTCTCCGTTTTCTGAATAGATAGATACAGTTGATGACATCAAAAATCAGCATTCTGTTGAGATTGAAGCGAATAATGTTGTTTTCTTAGCTAACTATCAAAAACAAAGTAATAAAATTATCGATTAAATTTTTATGTCCCTATTTTTTAAGCGTGAACCTGAATTTTGTTAACATAAATAAACAATTTATTTAAGCGTCCAAATGGCATGCGGATGACATTTTAGATGTCTTGAAGCCATGTATATAAACCGCCCCAAATAAGCAATAATCAATATTACATCTTCCATTCGGTTACACGCCATTTAATTTGCGAGATTAACACGTCTCGTCGAGTTATCTTTAACGAATCGTATGAACCGTGCTTGATTCAATATTCGATCTATTTGAATAAACGCACCTTTAGATATACCTGACAGGTGAAATAAAATCACTGTTTCACATGAGCCTGATGTTATTCGACAAGCTCAACACCTGTCACTCAGAACTAAACAATCTCGTTAAAAAGTGGAAAGCAACTTATGAGCTTTTTAAATTGCTTATACTTCAGTAGGTTTATCGCTATAATTTTAAACATGGTTTTTAGAGTAGTGAGTGAGTGAATAGGCTCCGAAACTACTGAACCGATTTGAAAATTTCTTTCACTGTTGGGAAGCTACATTATCCCCGGATGACGTAGGCTATATTCTATTTTCAACAAAACTAAGGATCCTTACTAAAACTTCAATAATGTAACCCAAAGTGTACAAAGATTACCTAAAATATTATTTACATGGCGTGCGCTGCGAAAACTATTGATGATAGAGTAAAATAATGTACTACGAATTTACAGAACACATCATTATTTACAAAAACTGTCGCGACACAATATATCTATAATAATTATAGTTATGCCACAATAAGCGTCCTATTATTTTACAATTTTGATTGAAATGCCGCCGCTAGAAAAGGCTCTTTCTTTGTATCTTGGTATTAATCCTTACAAAATTAAATTACTTTATATTTAAGACTGTTTCAATATCTTTATATAACTTTTTGAATTATTAAATTCGGACGTTCCATTCGAAAGATATCACAAGTTTAAAAATGTTAGTATATTGTAATTTAACTATCTTAACAGCTTAGTGACTGACTTAGAAGTTCTTATTATTTATTAATACAAATAAAAATAACAAAGACAAAATTAATGCGTAAATAAAAAATAAATAAATAATTACAATTGCATAAGTTGATAAAAGATGCTATGCAAGAGCGTTACCGCGGCAGCCCCCGATTGCCACAGTTAATTTTTTTTTCGTAAAGAATACGTCTGTATACCTAAATTCTTAAACACCAAGTACGAATTTATCGCTCCAATTACTCCTGTCTACGAATAAGTTAATTGTAACGAACGCCAAGTTCTTACATTAACTAAGGGTCATGTGACGTAGACTTGTAGCATCTTCATTTTGCAAAGGTGCCTACTCCAAGCTTGCCTTGCTAATTGCGTGTCACCTCTGTGGAGTTTTTAGTTTTAAGGAAAATAAACAATACTGTACTTCTTTTGCAAAAAAATTTGACTGACATCATTAAATTTAACTCGCCCATTAAATAAAGTTTAAACATTTTTTTTTATATTGTTCTTGAAACATCCATTTCTAATCCTTAATTTCGGTTCGTATCGCATATGATATCTCACTTTATTTACATATTATATGTATCTCACATTATTTACATAATGCTTTTAAGGCACATAAATTTAGAAATCGCGTGACAACGGTCGTTCACCTCCACACATTACATCGAACTAAACATCTCCAGATATATATCACGATAAGTTTAACGTAACAGGTTCTATGGAGGGAAAAAGAGTGCTTGATTCGATACAGATTTTATACGATTGGTTCTTATTTATCATCGTATAAATTTAGAGAACCGCATCGTTGATTTATTCCAACTATCCGGAGGTAGAAGTGAGGCGACGTTCGATACTATTTGCTTGGAACGCTTAAGATAACTATGTTAAGCTTAACGCTAGTTTAAATCTTTGGAATATCTCACATTTACTTACAGTTAAAGTCGGCCCTGTGTCGTGGGGACATTGCTTGCCACTGATACTTCGAATCGGTCGCGTTCTCAATACCGCGGGCAAGCTACTTACTTGCATGCTGATCTATTCTTGAGTACAATTTATTTCCTGCGTCGGGCTGTTAGTCTGTCGTCGCGGCGTTCCAATGGAAATTCGCTCCCTTCGCATTTCGGCTTAATCTCATTATTAGTTATATAGACCATAAAATCGACACGAAGATTCCTATAGTTCTGTTTTCTCATTACCTATTTCACCATGGATGTTTCTGGTTGTTTCAACTCCCATGTGTCTGGCGAAAGGTCTGCGTAAACAAAGCTTAAACATTTTAGGACGCTTCCGTTGATATGCAAAATTACATTGCATACTATTTAGGAAACAAATGCAATTGAGTACAAACGTATAAGTTTTGTACTCGATATAATTTAATTAAAAATGGTAGCGCACAACAAGTTACTCGTATTTAAGTGAAACCACCGCAATATTGATGCTACTAAGGTGCTATAATGTATATTATTGCGTCTATTATGTTCATTCTGTTAAGTTTTTGCGCTTAATATTTAATCTATAATTTGATCGACGCTAAATCGGGAATACTCATGCTTCTTTCATGCTTCTTTCTTTCTTCTTACTTTAATTACTTACTGACGGTAGCTTAATAATTTTCTAAATGCGTTTTATTTGACATTAACCTACAAAAATATATCTATTTTAACTAGATAACTTATTATCCAATTGACCTATATTTTAAGCTGGGTAAAATCTCTTGAAACCGATCCCAAGTCTACATGTATGTCTCGCTGTGAAAAAGTCTATCTACATTTTTATTTCTAACTTAAGCTTAAAGCCGCCATTTTGGTGCCGTTCTGAAGTTCGCAGACATTTTAATTTCCGCCTTTATTGTTAATGCGACGTGGGATTAAGAACCGTTTTTGATGAATGTGTGTACACTGTGATGTATTTAATATCCCTTTATTATGTTCTACGTCCGCTTGTAAGACGTGAGACGAATTTAAATCACTTTGCAAAAAATTGATTGAGCTCTTTTGAAAATCCACAAGCACATTGTTCATCAACACTCTCATCTTCTCTTTCTACTTTTTTCTTCTCTTTCTACTCTTTCTACTTTGTTCTCAACTTTATAACATTCTCATATATAGCAGTGCAGTAAATTTTCAGACTCGTTCAGGGAGTAAGAGTCATAATCCATCTAGTATAAGTACTTATACGTTTGCTCCCGTCTGGTAAGTGAGGTAACTTAAACTTGACTGTTATTTCATGAATTACTAACAAGAGAGACGTTTATTAACAATTAACTAAGATTTCTACCGTTCAGTTCTAATGAGTTATTACGAAGACTCCAATTAATAAATTGTCTTTCTGGTCCACTTTTCGGTTATTGTATTTAGGAACTTGAAGAAGAATTTTTAATGGCACCGATTTTTAGGGCGTGACTTTGATCCCGGTTACATAGGCCAAGTTCGAAATTACTAACGGATACTTTACTAAAGCTCGTACTAAACCGTTTCGCTGCTAAATAACAAATCGTAACGCGTCTCCCCATAACAGGCACCGTCGGAATTGACCAAGTTTCGTACGTATGTTTGTTTTTACAGCCGAACCACGCAGAATTGTGATCCACATTATTTTCCTAAACGTAACGTTGCTATAAAACGTATTTCGACAAACTGAGTGAATGGCGTTAGCATGGGCAGTTCTCTTATGCTTTTCATTTCAAAGGTCTAG